GTTGAACACACAGATTGCGCATAGTTTTGCTGTCTTACTATAGGTGCAGTAGCCTCGAAGTTGCCGATATGCCATTAGTCGGTCTGGGGTGTACTCGAGAGCCAAGTTCTACGAACGATTTGTGTGGAAACCACAAGATTCAACAATAGAACGATGAGCTGTACAAGCTATACGATGATAGTTTAGCTAATGAAAGAATAGCAGTTGCGCTGGCCACGCTGACCACGTCGTCCGAAGATGTAGTATCCGCCGTTGAAATCAGTTTTTCATTACTTCAGAAGGATCGAGTGGAGAGCGACCTGGTTTCACTTGATATTTCCAACTGGCGCTTGTCGAAGAGATGTAACGAATGGCGCTATTGTTGATTCGGCACTTACTGCGTCAGCAGTACCATGTCCATTAAAGAAGAAGAAGAATAATAAGAGAGTCCCAAAGCTTTCAAATTTCTGTGTTCACTAAATTGAAAACACAAGCTGACGCAATAGATGGAGAATTAATATTGTTGTAGAATTTTAGCCTACAATGCCCTCTCAGCAACTACGTAACTCAACAAAACATTGGAGAAATGACGACACAATCATCATCATAACAAACAGCAACAGTAATTCTTCAGTTGAGAATAGTCGGAGTTCGAACTGCATCCGAGGTTATTGCAAAAGTTGTATTTGCCTATACTTTTGACTTTCCTGAAATCGGACCAAAGGAAAAATAGGAAGCGAAACATAAAGAATAGACGCAAATTTTAGATCTTAGAAACTCATGGTATTTTCGGTTCTTCTCATTTGAGCGAAATAAATGGCAATTTAGGTTGTTATTTTGTGCAGAGAGTTAAAGAAACCACCTCGACATTGGACAAAACAACTCGGCTAAGTGCTCGGCCGGTTCGCTCAAAGTAAAATATTGCTGCTGCAGCTTTAAGTGCGCTCGGAGAGCCAACGACATCAACTCGTTACCGTTCGTAGGCATAAATAATTTTCATTCTTTGTATTAAGGCTTAAATAGTCGATATGATACAAGAATTGAAATCTCTTCACCAAATGATCGTTCGGTTTGGAAAAATTTCACCTGGGCCTCAAGCAGAGCTGCCGCATTTGGGGCTAGAAAAATCCGCAAAAGCCAATGCGTTCTCAAAGAATAGTAATTGGTGCGACATGTGGATTGGTGGCATTACAATTACACTCATCGATTATGGACGCTGTATGCTTTTAACATCGCGAGACAGTACCTGTCACACAGCTATCCCCACAATCGATCTTTTGCGAACCGTAAAACATTTCAATTTGCCATTTTTATATTTATATGAAAAGAAAGGCTTAGGTTCGGATGCAAAATCCTTTAGTGTCTGCAGAAGAAAGGAGACAAAGACTCCTTATTCCTTAAAATCATTGAGTTCTCTTGTTATTTCTCTCGTCAATAGCATAGATGAAGTAGCAACAGTCTTATTGTGAGCTCAGTCTCAGTTTTGATTATTGCAATATATTAAACGGCCGGCTGAATATCACTTAAACAATTTCCTTGTAAAAATATTACATTACGAGTTTCTTTCTCGAAATTTCAGCAAGTCTGCCCAAAAGCGTTTTATACTCTCTTCCAAGAAAAGTCAGCCATCAGAACAACGCATCACTGGCGACATAACTTCAAGGCATTTCTAAGAAATATTTCAGTAAACTTTTTAAACATTAAACAATTGCACTCTTCACACATGACCAAATATTAAATATATTAAGTTTTAGAATTGAAATTTCAAACATTATTTTGTTCTTTTTCTTCTTCATGGTAACTCCTCTGTTTGACTTTTTATAATTTGTCAAAGGAAATAATGCTTGCAGCGGCTGTATGCATGTGTGCGTTTTTATAAACTAAACACTGGGACATTTTTTAGAATGTCATTATCAAATTGGAGTACACCCAAATTGCTCCTATGTCATGCAGAAATGGACCAGCTATTGAATTTGTGTGTGTGCCTTATGAGAAATGTCACTTTTACTTATTTGAACGGACAGGTCACTTCATTTTCTTCGTCTAAAACATATTACATGCTTCACAAGACGGTGGCAAAACACTTTGACCTAAATTTCATTAATTTTTTATTTGTTCAGACACGGCTAAAATACAGATTACAGCATCGAATTGCCTCTTGTATAACAACATTACCTAAAAGGACGAGTCCGATACCCTTCTGGTCTGTTTCTTATTGTCCTATGGTTCTTGAAGGATAACTTATTTATTTTTAGTAACTTTATTTATCTCTTCTTGTCGAAAACAGCCAAAAAGTAATTTGAAATACAAGTTTTGTGCCGTATAGAATAATATATTCGGTCTATTTTGGAAAGTAAGACCCCGCTGTTGTTCCTCACAGTACTTTGGCTGAACGGGTGTGTAAATAAGCAGAATTGTCGATTTTGGAGTGAAGATCAGCCAGAAGCATTGCAAGAACTACCAAAACATCCAGAAAAAGTCACAGTTTGGTGCGGTTTATGGGGTGGTGGCATCACTGGACCGGGTATCTGAATCGTGAGCGCTATCGTCGGATGATATCAAACTTTTTTTGCCCAAAACGTAAGAGCTTGACTTGCAGGGCATGGGGTTTCAACAAGATGGTGCCACATGCCACATAGTACGCGTAACAATGGACTTATTGAGAGGCGAGTTCGGTTCAGGACCAGTCAATTGGCCACCTAGATCGGGCTAGTTAACGCCTTTAGACTATTTTTTGTAGGGCTATGTTGAATCGAACGTCTATACAGACAAGCCCGCTTGAAATGACTCATTGGAGGACAACATTGAGGCATTTATTCGTGAAATACAGGCCGAAATGTTGGAGAGAGTGTGCCGAAATGGGACTAAGCGAATGGATCATTTGAGGCGCAGTCGCGATCAACATTTGCATGAAATAATCTTTAAACACTAAATTGTATGGACCGTATTATCGATTCAAATAAAGATATCATACACTTTTCAGATGTTTTTTATTTTTTTTTTTATTTTTAAAAACTTTTCTATGGCTCCTAAAAAAATCACCCTTTACATCTCAATGCTAAGTATATTTGACGATTTTATTTCTAACGAAATTTTGGAGTACTTTCTCACTTCTGTTTTAATGAATTTTAAAGGCAATATAATTTTTAAGTGGGTAAATACTCACACTTTCATACTCGCATTCATAACATACTCATGTACACGTACATACATATGTGACTCGCCTTCGCCTTGGCCCTCGCACTCAATAGCACGCAATCACAAGCGTTTGTAGAAGTTCAACGAAATAAGAAATTTTTGAAATTCCCATCAAATTGCAAGCAAAAAGTTTTCTTGTTAAAAGCTTTTGGTCATAGGAAAAGTTCCTTTGTCATGGCCGTAAAGAAGTTGGACTTTGACTTTCTCAATATATTATAGCCACAATTAAAATTAAATTCAAATCTGTAAAACCACATTGGTTGGTTGTGTATTTGTCAATTTGTGTGCTTGGCTTAAAATTATATAAGTTAAAAAATAAATAGAGTAACAATTCGAAAAAAAACCCGTATCACCCTTCTACAAGCTGCTTTCACTCATGCAATTTATAGTATACACTATATATGTGGCAAGTGTGTGTGTGGGTACGAGGGTTGCCTTGTATATTTTGGGTTTATAGAAAGTTTTTCAAAATATTTTCCATAGAGATCTATGCATGTATGTTCATGCATTTGAGGTGAGGTGAGTCCAAAACAAATGTACTGAACTCATCAGCCACCTCTACAGATGTCGAAAAACGCTGATATCTGAATTTACTATTTTCGTATGGGAACAAATGTATAGCATTCGGTGCAAAATCGAGACTTTATGGTGGATGACTTATCAAACCTTTGTTTTGCGTGCTCAAAAATGCAGTTATTTCAGTTCATCTGTGAGCGCACGCATTGTCAAGGTAAAGAGTTATACGTCTTTGATGGTTGCTTTTTCTGATTTCTGGAAAGACAACTAGGGAACATCTCGTTGCATATCACTGTTCTGTGTTCTTCTAATACTACGGTTACGGCAAGTCCAGTTTATCAAAAAAAAAAAATATATATAAACAAAAAAAAGAGTTTTTTGAGCGAACTACTTTTATTGGTTTCCACTCATTTTTAGACACTCAAACAGTCGACTGCTGATAACCTTCGTGCTTATGCGCGAAAATCTACGATTCATCGCCTTTCAACGCGATTCATCGTATTTTCTAACATGTAACTCGACCAATTGACACGAACCATGTTTTTTGAGCATTTCAGAAATTGAGTGATATCCAATGCGAACAAGTTTCCAGTACAAACAGTAAATTTTGTCTTTGTAATGTCTTTAGTCGTCTCTGTCTCACGATAGGTCACATGATGATCTTGCAATATCAGTTTGGGCACAGCGTCAATAGTTTCTGGAACAAAAACTGATTTTGGACAGCCTAGAGGAAATTCGTGATCTACGATCTTGATGGAATTTTTTATGCCATCAATAAGTACTGGTACTTGATGGAGCTTCAACGCCAAAAAAAATAAATAAATTCATTACCGCACTGATATTCATTTATTCTACAATACGTTGAAAGTAGTACAAAAAATAAAAAATAATAATAATATTTATTTTGTATTAAAAAAGTGCATCAAAAATATCAAACTTTACGCTAAAGTTATCAGTTGCCAGATTCCAACACAAAGCTTGCCAAATCCCAAAATATAAAAGTCCACCCTCGTATATATAAATGAAAGCAACAGTAAAATCCGTTCACCACATGTGGCTACCAGTATATGTGTGTGAATGCGTGCGTAGGCGTGTGTGTGTGTGTAGGTGAGTGCGGGCACCACCATTGACCTTCTCTCGAAAATAGCTCGCTTGCTTAGAATTGACTTAGACTTTTCGGTTGCAACCTCAAACTAAAAGTTAAACTTTCATTTTTCATTTTTTTCTTCTTTCTCTGTTATTTAATTGCACAAGTTTTCTCAGCCAGTGGCATTGCTGGAAAGTAACGAAAGTTGTTTGCAACTTACCAACCACTTGCAAATGCACTCGAGCGCTAACTTTTGGCTCTGTTGACACTTGACATTCATAGGCGCCCGCATCTCTGGCTTGTACGTATTTTATTTGTAGCGTCCAGAATTTGTCCGGCTGCTTTAATGCTAGAAATCTTTGGTCGGCAATGAAGACGGCTCTGTAATGGAAGGAGAAAAATGTGGTGTGAGTGTGTGTTATAATTGTTACTGCATATTTATTACACAAATACATACATATTTATTTAAACAGAAATATAAGCAATGTAAGAGTATTTTTCATGATTCTTGGCTTGATTTTGCCTAACATTTCAAAGCGGTGGGTGCATTGCCGTGTAATCCTGCTTCTGGTATCCACGAAACGTGAAACATAAGAAATCTCTGTACTGACCTATAGCCAAGTCTTTTCACTTAGCAACTCAAATCAGAATGAAGTTATTTTATGCTTGACTCACAGTTCGGACTGTCACCTTTCGAACGATATATAATATGTATGTATTTCTTTCACGAGCGCCACTCTCAAACGATTCGAACGGCATCCAGCGCAATCGGGCACGAACTTATGCACTCATCCAATATAACTTTCACTCATATCTGAAAGCATCGCTCCGACAAAGCTTAATCAAACATCTCTGACGACAACTGCAAATATATTCGAGACTGCAAATTGAGGACATGCTACTCAAATTGTCCGATTTCTTAATTCGACAGTAGTTGCTTTCCATGGCCTTACCAAAAAAAGGCTTAACTCTCCACCATCCTGGCTATGTGATGGAGAGGAGCAACGAAGAAAATAGGTTTATGTGAATTTTTGTTACAGTGAGCATATAAAGGAACGCGAAATCGGTGTTGAATTTGTGATGGGAGGGGATCTCAGTCATCGAGAACTTGCTTGCGGCTCTGCGTATGAACGTCTTGCCATAATCAAAATAAAATTGCGATTCTCCAATAGATCACCAAGTTGCGCGCATGTCATGTACTAGCAGAACAATTTAAACAACGATTTTTTCTACGAGCGCTGATCGATTTTGCCGAGCAACGATAATATTTCTGGTAATCCGATATAAAATATCCAATAAACAACTCGAATGTCATCGTATGGAAACACTGAAGACCAGATTGACCATATTTTTATGGCTAGAAGACACGTCTGCAGTTTTTTATATGTAGGGGTGTTCTGCATGACTCTAATATCGATGCGGATCACGCTCTTGCTCGCCTCCATATAGCCAAGAACAGGCATCGACAAAAAAGCGTTGATTCTCATATGCAATCTATAATCTCAGCAAACAGCAAAGAGGTTTTCAACTTGACTTGATTAGCTGTTCTTTGAAAGCACTTATTAGCAATCAGGTAAAAACGACTGTCAACGAAACTATTTACTTTTCGGCAAGGTCGGAAATAAAGCGGGTACGATGAGGACTGTATAGACTGTATAGCTCTAAGCGATCGCAACGCGAACGATACGCGAATGTAACTTGAATTCTAAAGAAAGCGAGACGCATTTGTTAAGCAAAAAAGAGAAATGTTGAAAATTTTGAGTTTTGAGAACTTGAAAATAAAGCGACTTAGGTAATATTTCAATAACTGAATGAGAAAGGTGATAAGTAACTGTAAATCAGAGTATATTGAGTAAATGGTGGAAACACTTTGCTCAGCTGCTGAATTGCAATAACAGTGAAACACCCGGATACGTCGAACTTGAAGCCCCAATCGATGTCGATTGAATTGGACGGTTATCTAAAATGTTATAGAGTTCTCAATCATTTCAGTTCAAATATTTTTTCTGAAGTTTATTAGAAATATTTTTTAATGTCTTCGTACATAATTTGAGCGTCAATAAAACTTTTGGGAATACTAAGACCACAGCCTCATGCCAGTTGGGAAATTTTTTTTTCAAAATATTTTTCTTTAAATTATTGACATATTTTGTATAGCATATATGAGCATGGCAGCCGCAAAAGCCGAGTGGTAAGCATGGTGTTTGACATTCGGAATACCAGAGTTGAAGTCATCGTTTCTTTAACACCTAAACTAATAGATAATTAAATTTTCTAATCGCGGTCTCGCCTCGGCAGTGTATTTCCAACATGAAATAAGAGCTGCGCAACATTCCACCAATCAGAAAGTCGAAAACGTTCTTTTTATACAGAATTGAAATCGGTTTAGTGCGTTTGATGGACGAAGTATGTGAGTAATGAAAAACACATCAGTTCGTAACAATACGAACGATCTTCAAGCCCAATCTGATCACGATAAGTTTCGGCTACACTTGCCGTCCTAACAGAAATATTAAAGACCAATTTACAACCTGCAATAAAATGTTTTGCGCAAGAAATTTGTCTTCAAATATACTACAGCAAAAGCTGATAACACCTGGAATAAAATTTAAAGTTTTCACTAAAAATATTTTTTAAAACAAATCTTTCGTTTAACGAGAAAATCAAATACAAAGTTCTATGTACATAAAAAAAAACAATATCTTTCAAAATAAAATCATTCTCTATTTTCAACCATATATATTTGCTTTAGCACATATTTGAAGCTCACAAAATTTTACATACCATTCGTATATTCATACATATAACATATATATAATGTACGTATGTGCGCACTCTTTGAATATTGCTTTTTCACATTGTTCAGCAAGTGTGAATTATATGGAATAATAAAATAATCTCTGTCTTGAAGATCCAAAAAAGTTTCAATTGCAAGAATTTTATAAAGACAAATAATTTTCCTCGATTTATTTGCTATATTAAATATTATAAATATTAAATTGTCCTACTTTAAAATTGAAAAATAAAAAAATATATAAAATAAAATAAATAAAAACTAATTTCGAGAAGCAATAATTTAAATAGGCTCAAATAAAAAGTTTTGATATAAAAAAATAAAAAAAAAAATCAATTATTTGTTTTAATAAATAATGAAACCATATACGAAAAATCAGGGGGATTTCACTCATTTTGTCGGCTGCCAAAGCTCAATGTGGTTTCTTGGAAAGATAAAAAAAATAAAATCATTTTTGAATTATAATTGAAATTGATTTTAAAATTGGTGCTTTGTAACTGTTGCAGCGATTTTCGGCCGAGCTCATCATCGGATTTTTGGTTTTGCGTCTCCTCTTCTTGATGGCATATGTAAATTATATTATATTATGATGTATGTAGTTGTAAGGCACATCATATTCAATAGTTTCTAGAAAGCGCCGAAATCTTACAAAATTATACATATAATTGGCGCATTGTAATCGCTGAAGCGACTTTTCTTCCGAACTCCTCCTCCAATTTGTGGCTTTGCGTCTTGATGTTGTTCCAACAAATGAAGGGACCTACAGTTTATGCTAAGCCGCCTCCGAAGGGCTGATGGTTTTTTATGAGGAGCCTTTATTTCATGTCCGAAATACACTCGAAGTGATGGACATTCCCTGCCTTCCAGCATTTTTATTTACACTAATTTCCCTAACTTTTGGATGTTGCTGGCAACGGGATATGAATACGGGCCTTCCGAATAGCAGTGCGCAACGCTAATCACTCGGCCTCATTTTTTATATATTTGGCATAAAATTTGTTCCATTATTTTCGCAGACCACTCGCGTTTTATAAGAGCTGATGGCGTTAGAAAGATGATATTTTATACTAAAAAAGTTCATGGGCGAAGTGTTGATTTCTTAACACCAGTAAAGAGCTAATTTCAAAAATTGATCTACTTCTGTAGCGAACGGTGATTGGTCAGGAAATGTGGATCACGAACAGCAACGTCAAGAGAAAACGCTCATTGTCGAAAGGCAGTGAACGCGGCACAAACGCTCTTCAAGAATATTATGACGACCAAGAAGTTTTTTGTTATGTGCTTTGCAGGGTCAAAATTTGAATTCGAACTTGTACATACTTGCAGCGATTCGACCATCTGATGGAATAAATCGCCCAAAAAACATCCAGTTTTGGTCAACAGGAGGAGAATTGTTTTGTATCTAGGCAACGTCAGACCACATAGTGTTTCGTCAGAAGTACAAAAAAAGTCCGCACCTCGCACCAAATGATTAACGTCTGTGCCCGACTATGACGAACAATTTGGCTGGTAAGGATTTGGCCTCAAGGGAAGCTTGCAAAGATTCTAATTTTTTGCCATTTGTGGCAAGGGTTTGTATGAGAGAGGCATAATGATAATTTCTGCAAAATGCCAAAAAGTTATTGAGAATAATTTATATATGACATAATGCGAATTATTTTAACTATGAAATGGAATACTTTTTACTAAGGCAAAATATGCCAGGTGATTGAAGATTTGGTGCCAAAATATGAAATATGTAATTTTTGTATTTAAGAATGTTTGGAATAATGCAAAAGTAACATTAAAACTTTTTTTAAATATCCATTGGGTTTTGTGTAAAAACCTTAACTGTTTAATTAATTTGTGATTATTTTGGTTGTTGATTGGAGAACAGAACAGAACAGGAACCCATGACCTATTTCAATTGCCCTTGGCTTTTTTATACCAAAAAATCAGAAAATAATTCAACATAAAAGTACATATGTATGTATATGGTATGTTTGTATGCATATTATATAATAACTACGAGTATCATAAAAGTTTTTCGGTGATTTAACCAACTAGTCTAAATTCAAATTTAACTAGCATTCACAGAGTTATAAAAAATTATGTACATGTGTATGTGTGTACATAACTAACTAGTTTTATGCAATAAAAACTTTGGCAACTACTTTTATTTCTAATCTTCAAGCAAGTAAGCTTTGAATTGCATACGTGTTAGTGGGGGAATTCTAAGTTGCCTTTACCATGTAAATACATACACATAAATATGTATGTGCGTGTACTTTGTGAACTTTTTATTCTTAATAAAATTGAAGAGCTCAAGTGTATATGTGCATATATGTGCATATATGAGTAACAGCAGTTGAATAAATAAATAAATAAATAAATAAAAAAGTGTTTAATTTCTTGCCACCAAATTTCAAAGTTTATTGCTTATTCTACAATAGTTGAGCTTATATAAAGGTATATTCGTAAGCATCTGTACATACCTACACACGTGCATATATTGAGATATAAGTACGTTGGTTATATTGTTTAAAATACGTTGGGATTATACAACAAAAAGTAATGTGAAATATCTGGCAATATTCTCCAACTCACA